AAGATGCTCACGTTATTTAAATTTAAGTCAAAAAAAAGATAAATTTTTTAAATGATTCAATAATTGTTCTTCGACAAAATTTGATTTTTATATTCATATATCAAAAAAATATTTAGTGATAATTTTAATTTGTAACGAATATAGTATATTAATATTTGTTATTATTATTAATATTATTATTATTAATATCATTAATAATTATTATTGTTAGCGATTACTCAAAAATACATTACTCACTTAAAAAACTCAAAGTAAGAAGACTTTTAAAGAATATTAGAAGTAGATTTCGTTCCTTGGGCATGGTGGGTTATGGGCTCACCACGCTTCCGCTTCGCCACGCTAATTTGTTGTAATTTTTCACTTATAAAAACAATATATTAATAATCATTTAAAGATTCTTCAAAATATTCCCATGAAAGATATATTAAATATATTCAGTGTATGTTTTCTTTAATTTAATACTAATGTGATCTTGACAAATGTTTGGTTCATGATAGAACACTCAATAATTTTTTATTACTTTGAATTTTAAAGTATACATTTCTTTATGTTTTGTATTAAAATAATCCATTTCATTTTTCAATTTCTTAAGAAAACAAATTAAAATCACGTGGGTGAGATTTTTTTCAAAAGAAGAGAAATATTGTGAACGATCCAATACTTCTAAAAAATGAATTTTGTTTTGGTACTGAAATAGAGTGTATTTATTAATAGTTGTTATTACTATCATTATTATTAGTTGCTACTCAGAAGAAAATTACTCACTTATAAAATGCATTAGAAGAAATTTAAAAAATATCAGAGACAGGTTTCGATCCTATGACCTGTGGGTTATGGGCCCACCACGCTTCCGCTGCGCCACTCTGATTTGTTGGCACGACACACTTAGCAAAAATATCAATGCTTGTTAACATAGTTGTCAGAGTGTTCACATGAGAAATATATTATATATTTACAGATTCGTTTTTAACTTATTACTTTAGTTTCGTGATTTTGATGAATCTTACGTTCACGATTGAAAACATTATCTTTAAATTATTTTCCATTTCAAATTATAAATTTCTATAATTTTTTAAATAATTTAAATGGTTATTAAGTTATTTCAAAGATGCTCACCTTATTTAAATTTAAGTAAAAAAAAAGATAAAATTTTAAATGATTCAATAATTGTTCTTACACAAAATTCGATTTTTATATTCGTATATCAAAAAAATATTTAGTGAGAATTTTAATTTGTAACGGATATAGTAAATTATTACTCCGTATTTCTTATTATTGTTATTATTAATAAAATAATTACAATTATAATTATGATTGTTAGCGGTTACTCAAAAATACATTACTCACTTAAAAAAACTCAAAGTAAGAGGACTTTTAAAGAATATTAGAAATAGATTTCGTTCCTTGGGCATGGTGGGTTATGGGCTCACCACGCTTCCGCTTTGTCACTCTAATTTGTTGTAATTTTGCACTTATAAAAACAATATATTAATAATCATTTAAAGATTCTTCAAAATATTCCCATGAAAGATATATTAAATATATTAAGTGTATGTTTTCTTTAATTTATTACTAATGTGATCTTGAAAAATGTTTGGTCCATGATAGAAGACTCGTTAATTTTTTATTACTTTGAATTTTGAAGTATACATTTCTTTATGTTTTGTATTAAAATAATCCATTTCATTTTTAAATTTCTTAAGAAAACAAATTAAAATAACGTGGGTGAGATTTTTGTCAAAAGAAGAGAAATATTTTGAACGATTCAATACTTCTTCTAAAAAATGAATTTGTAACGGATATAGTATATTATTATTTGACTTTTATATTCGTATATCAAAAAAATATTTAGTGAGAATTTTAATTTGTAACGGATATAGTATATTATTATTTCTTATTATTGTTATTATTATTAATATCATTACAATTATAATTATTATTGCTAGTAATTACTCAAAAATACATTACTCACTTTAAAACACTCAAAGTAAGAAGACTTTTAAAAAATAGGAAAAATTATCTCAAATAATCACACCTTTTTGTGCTCTTTCAAAAATAATCTCACTTTTCAACCTTACTGCATGTGTGCGAGTTTTGGGTCGCCGTTAAAAAACTAACAGTTACTTGACGGAATTTCTGAAATATGCCCGTTTTTGCAAATAAATGAAAGGTGCGATTATTTTAGGTAAATTCTCTCTTTTTCGTTTTTAAATTTCTAAGTTTAAATTTAAATGTATTTTTTATTTTATTTTTTTGGAAAAATAATACCAAGTTTAAGTGTTTTTAGAGTTTTTTTGAAAAATAATACCATATTATTTTTTCCAATAATCGATAATCTAGTTATAATTAGAAAATAAATTATTCTACACAATATAGCTAATTTATTTACTTGATAACTAATTACATTCTTTTTGTAAGTTGCATTTATTTTTAAGAAATCACCCTACGTAGCACTCTAACTCATATAATACTACGCATTTAGCACTGCTTATTGTTTATTTACCAAATTAGCTATTTATGTTGTCAATCTCTTCCAATCATACCCTTTATGTTATCAATCCCTTTTATCCATCCCACTATCAATTATTTCAATTTCCATTTCAACTCCTATATCAAATTCGGTCTCACATAATGTATACTTTGTGCATAGTGGCATAATACTCTTTTTTATCAAATTTTTTCGTCAATCAATTAAATGTAGTTTTGAATAAATATATATAATAAAAATATGATATATCAAAATTATATCATAAAAATATGCCAATTATAAATACTTCTTTTATCCCAAAATAGGGCTCTTATTCGATTTACGATGTTTGATTGAAATTATTTTCAAATCAATATTAGTAAAAATTATTGTATAATTAAAAAATAGGAATTATATATTAAAAAAACTACATAAAATTTTTTATAAACAAGTGGTGACAATGTGACTTACATATAAAACTACCAATTTATAAATTATTATTTGATTTTCATATTGTGCAAATAGCTTGTGGTTGATTTTATGACAATAGAGTTTTACCATGAAAGAGATTGTTATGAAATGTGTTACTCAATATGGTGACTATAAATATATGGGCAGTACAGATTGATCATGTTATGCAAACACTTTTTGGCAGTGAATATGTCTTCTATATATAATGTGGCAGACAAGAGTGAAAGTATGATAGTGTATAAAAGTTAGCGACCTAAACAAATTTTTATGTACTTTATTAACTTCCATTAATAATATGGCAGTGAAATTAGACATACATATGAAACTGCCAATGTTATGAATTATG